CGATCATCATCCATACCTAATCCTCAAAGACCACAATTAGTTCCTACTTATACTACTTATGGTGGTCCGTCCAAGCTATCTGGTTCTAGTTTACATCTCAATAACCCTGGAAATTTAGTTGTCCCGTTAGCATCACAAGGTGTTGTCAATGAAAGAAATACATCAAGTGCTGGTCAACAAAATTTCTGGGGAACTTTACAAATGGGTTTTATGCCCGCAATGAATTTGCTTATAAATACAGTTAATTCAACGGAAGGTGATGAGGAAGCTGGAGATGATGCAAGCGGACGAAAGAGATCATCATCTTTTAGAAGCAAAGGTGGTAGATCTCGTAGTGGAAGTGGGCCTGTTGGATATGGTTCTGATGGGTAAATGATGGCTTCATAAAAATTCATTTTCCTAAAAACTAGAAAGACTAGACATTTACAAATTCATTCTTCGATATTACCTAAATAGGTCCATAGCTGAATATTCTCAGATTCTGTTTTTGCATAATGTGCAACTTCACTTTTTATTTCCAAATTCATCAGAAAAAGAATTTGTGTTGGATGGTGAGATTCATTACAATAATTTATATGATCGCGTGCACATTAATATTTATTATAATTTTAAATCTTAAACCATTTTTTTACAGTATACAATTGTGCCTGGAAGAGGGACAATGTATTATTAAAAGGGCGTGCATATATTACTCAAGATAGTCTTTATTTTTATTCTGTAGTAATGAGCATAGTTAATACGGTTAGTAAATAATTTTCACAGGTATCATTTTTTATTATTCTAACTCTTCTAAAAATATGTTCATTAATTTTTATAGTTCTGTGTGTCATGGAAAGATATAACATCAATTATCCATGAGACTACAAATACTTTACATTCTATTGAATTTTCGAATGAAAATGGAAATCAAAAGGTGATCTTTTACTCGTCTTCTTTTTTCTTTTTTTTATAAAACGAGAAATTATGTATGAACCAATTCTATATATGATATTAGTATATCTTGAAGACTTTTACGGAATCGAGTAATGAATTGTATGACAAAGCAAATCTAATTTGGAAACTCGCTACCAGTGAAAAGGTAACTTTTATAACAAATATCAAGTTATTCATTATGTTTAAATCTCTATTTTAATAACTTTTTAATAATTATCGAAAGCCGTCAACGTTGCAATCGATGTATGACGCAGTGTGGAAAGACCACATACCACTACGTTCTAAAGAATCTAGGGAAGCTTCGAGTGACAAGGATAAAGAGTTTCATAAAGAAGATTTTTCAATAGGTATTGAAACACCGCCAGAAAAAGATGCCCAAGATTTAATTGATCATTCTGATAGTAAAAAAGCATCAGACACGTTTGAAATGAAAGATGATCAACCGAAAAGTGATAGGTACTATACGCTTTTATTTTAGTTAAAAATCTTTTTGTAATTGTTGCATTGGATATAATTTATATATATTACATTAGTGATAAATTGGCTCCAAGTCCTGTTCCGATTGTTTCTAAACCACAAGAAGGTAGGATTATAAAGGGTCCCGTTTAAAATCATGGAAATTCAAATCCCTACAGCACATTATTTATAAGTGTCACAATGATATTAGGCAGTTTTTGTGGCGGGTCCCTCTAGGTAAGGGATATAGATTAAGAGAACTCTATTTCTGTAATTATCAAATTACTAAGCTGTCGGGATTTTGATTTTCCGTGATTTTAATAGGGTTCATATTGTAAACTACATAAAAACAAAGATTAAAAATATTTATTTAAATAATAGATGATGACTGGCCTTCACATATAACTGAACCAGATGGACCAGTTGAATGTAAATGCACAGATCATCTTGAAAAATTGGAAGCTGAAATAGAATATCCAATTTCTGCAAAAAAACTATTTGACATGCTTTTTGATGAAAAGAGTACAATATGGGAACGGTTGCATCAAAAGAAAGGAAACACACTGCTGCATAGTGGACCATGGGTAATAGATAATAGTGAGGATGGTGAAAGGAAAAGAGAACTTAAATTTATTATGCCGATTACTAATCCTCTTTTAGGTAATAAAATCTTTATTTTTGAATGTCTACATAATAAGTAAGAAAATGAAAATTTAATATAAAATTGGAAATATATAGCTGCCAATCTTAAAGAAACGGACTGCCTTCAAACACAAATATGTCAAAAACGTGAAGATTATTTGTAAGTTTTTCTTTATCCATCTTCTCTTAATTATGAATTTATTATTTATTATATTTATTTTTGTGAACAGATCTTATGTTGTTTTAATACAAACAAAAGCTTTAAAAATGCCATACAATGATTCATTTTTGCCAATGTGCAAGTGTTGCATAACTTATGTTTCAAAAACATCATGTAAATTGGCATGCCACATTGGAATCAAATGGTTCAAGTCACCAATGGTTAAAAGTAATTAGTTATTTCAACAATAATCTTAAGTAATTTGTTCGTTCATAAAATTCTTATGTTTATGTGCGTACTTTTTTATAGAAATGATTCGAAAAGCTGCAATGGCCGGCTTAGCAGAAACTGTAGCAGATATAGTTGAATTACTTAGTACAGATGTGGAAAATGAAGTCGTATCATCTGTCTTACCAGGCTCTCCAATACGAACGTCGCCTGGAGGATATTCTTCAACTCTTCGTCGTCGTCCTCATCATCGTGTACCCAAAATTCGTATAAAACACGCTGCAAATGATGATAATTCAGTACCTGGTGGTTCATCAGGAAAAATGATTGAAAACATTTCCACTTCTCTAAATAATGGAAGAGGAAAGATCTTTACGATTATTTCACCAGTTGTTGAAATCTTATCCTCTTTATCATTAAATGAAGTGTTTGTAACGATTCTGATTTTGTCACTAGCAATGAATATTTATATATGGTTCTGTACTGGGCGCTTGATCGATTCAACAACAACTCGATCAGCTCAATCAACTCATGGAACACCAGCAGTATACCTTCGAGATTTGGAAGAGCATATTCTGAATAAAAGTGCACATATAATAGATGGTGTCGATCTTACCAGGCAATTATTTTAACAAATAATATTTACTAACAAAGAATCTTGAAACTATTTTTTTTCATTTTTTTACGAATTAACTAACAGAATCAGTTTATTTTCATGTTAGTTACAAACAATTTTTAGACACACGAATTCAATATCCGCCATATCCATGGTTACTCCATTCACATCGTCGATTGTCCGAGGAAATAATACATTCACGGAAAAAAGTAGCAATGTTACGATATGATCTACTGCTTACGTTCAGACTTATAAATTTGATCGATAAAAGATTATTAGCGAGTGAATACACTAATTGGCTTTTGGATGAAAGAGCCAAGTGCAATAAAGCGAGATGGTTGTTGCTTAAAGATGATTTAATTTATGAAAATGAGGATAATGAGGATAATTTAGAGAAAGATAATTGTAGTAATTGTGATAATTCGAGCATTATCAATGAACAAACTAATTATAATAGTGCTAACACAACGATGACTGGTAAAGAAAAATATAATTCAGAGTATAAAACTATATTAAAGTATTGTGGAGACATCAAAAAGCAATTGGACGTGATGCCTACAGTACTTTAGAAATTCTGGGATGTATATATATGGCTTTGAAAATTATTGTAATTTGAATATGTAAATCTTTTTTTAGCATGTACGGATAGATTATTATAACATAGTAGTCGATTTTTGTTAATAGCTACATAAAAACAATGGATGTCGGAATGGGATTTAGAATCTACTTTGGTTAATTCCAAATAATTGCAGGTTGTAATAAAATTTTAAAATGCTTTCAAGTTGTTAAATTAAAATTTAGTATACAATAAATTTAAACAAATTTTTATAAATACGTTTTAGAATTAATTTTAAGATTTATAATTATTTACAAATTAAAGTCATACGGTGATTTAAAAGTATTACACGTATGAAGTTTTTACATTTATGATTACTAGAATAACAATTATTATTGCATAATAAATTTTTTATACAAATTTTTGCAATTACATATACGGTTGTTTTCTATAATTGCAATCTCAAGATTTAGAGAGTTCATCTGGTTTAATAGAGAGACAAATACAAGAATAGACCAGATTTGGGTCTCTAATAAGCTTGTATATCGATATAGTTTTTTTGATACAGAATATAGAAAATAGATATTTATACAAATAGTAATTATACAGTTGCTATCACGAAAAGACATCAATTTTTAATTTTAAAATTTTAAACTTATAATTTTTTAAAATAAATAATCTAAAAAGGATTTTCCTGATCGACCAATCAAGATGCAGGATCAGGTGTAACGTGAAAATCGAAGCGAAAGTGATTTTTTTAAAAAATCGCTTCTAACTTAAAATTTTGCCTATGAAACTGCTCTTTTTATTCTAACAAAAAAAATTCCTTGCGAAATTTTGGGTTAAAAAAAGGTTACTAGCCACTATTCTAACCAAACCCTAACCTAACTCTAACCAGTTGCTATTTGTTTTGATTAACGTAGAAATCAAAACAAACCAAATGATTGGTTAATCAGGGGGTAGCGATGAATCGCACTGGCGATGAATGATAATTGTCTTTTTTATATATTTAATAGCTTTTTGTTTAAGAGTAGAGTGTATGTAGATCATTTTTCATATGATCTACGTGGTATATTAGATTTTTATATAGTAAATAAAAAAATGTTTCTAATAAAACTTTTTAATATCTTAACCAATTTGTATAAAATTTATATAATATATAATTTAAACAGTTTATTTATAATATTGAAGTTGTATAATATGCATTGCTTTAAAAAAAAACCAACTTCATATATAATTAAATTTTTCTAGGTCGCTATATGTTTTTCCTAGATAGTACAAAGAAATTGTTAATTCTGATTGGTCAAATCATATGATGTTTACATGTAAATTATATGATATCATATAAAATTCATTATACAAAATTGATCTACAATCTATTTTATATAAAATTAAAATTTTGTACATCTTACCCTTAATCTGTCATCTGGGGAAAATCTGCAAATTTTATAAATAAATTTTATTATTGAGTTAAATATAGAGTATTTCTATTTAAAATATTTTTTCTTACTAAGTAAATTACTCTTGAGCTTCTAACAAAAGTTATAAAGTTTATCAAGATATATTTAATATTGTAAGAATATTAAAATCAGCCTGGTGGTTTTTGAGAAATTTTTAAAAAATATTTCACTAACATATAAATTTTTTTTTTTTAAAAAAAAATTTTATATGTTAGTAAAATATTTTTTAAAGATTTTTTAAAAACTACTAGCCCAATTTTAATATTTTTACTATCATTAGATATGTTTTGATGAGCTTTATAACTTTTGTTAGAAGCCCAAGAGTTAATTTACTTAGTAAGAAAAAAGTTTTAAATAAAAGTATAGCTTAATAGTAAAACAAAGATCAAATGAAGAACTACCAAGTAGATATCGGTATACTAATATATACCGATAGGTGCCCAGTAGTAAAATGATAATTTACCGATAGTTAAATCTGATATGTATCTGATATGACTCCTATATTAAACAGAAATTTGGCTCATATAGGGCACCTATTGGATAAATATTGGCATCATATTAGTAATATATCAGTGCTATATTGATACTCCGATATGTAATAGAGAAAACCCAATATGTATCCTATATTTTTCTAAACTGGATACATATCAGGTTACTAAAGGCTTATCAGTATAAACTATATTTACTAAGAATTTTATAAATTAAAATTAAATTTTTTTATTTAAATAATAAATTTTATATTATACATACTAAATAAAAAAAATAAATTTAGCCAAAAGAAAACTCCAACCCCAACCAAGTACCCTAGCCATGGCAAAGAAAGAACTTGTCACATAATGATCTGCAGATAAATTAGCTAATAACAAAATTCGAATTTGATGTAATGTAATACAATTAGGAAAAATCAAACCAAATGTCTATTTTTTTAAAAATCGCCTATTTCTCGAACATTTTTATGAGAAATCACCTTCTGCACTTTAACAAAAAAATTTCTTTGAGGAATTTTACTATGTATAGCTAAAAACTAACCTAATATAAGCAATTTCAGTAACAACTTCAATAGTGATCAATGATGGCTCCAACGGCGATTCCGGTGGCAACTTAAACGGTGATTCAAAACCGAAAGTCCATTCAAAGATCTAACCATTGACGCCGAAAGGAAACTAGAACCTAAATGAAAAAAAATAAAGTTAGTACTAATTATATATTAAGAAAAAAAAAAAGAATACTTATAAGAAAGAACGCCAGAAAGCTTGGACGGACCACCATAAGTAGTATAAGTAGGAACTAATTGTGGTCTTTGAGGATTAGGTATGGATGATGATCG